GGCCGGGAGCAGGGCTGCCGCTCGGGTGCCGGGACACTGGTCCCGCCGGCGGTGCCCCAGGCGCCGTGTCCGTCCTGCCGCAGGGACGCAGCGGGCCCGGGCTGGCACGCGGACCTCGCTGCACGTCCCCTACGGCAACGGTGAGGGTGAGAAGCTGGACATCTATTTTCCCGCGGATCCTTCTGGAAGTAGGTGACGGGGCGGCAGGGGCAGCAGGGGCGGGCAGGGCCTGTGCCCCCCTGCTCACTCCGGGCCGTGCTGCGCAGCCTTCCCGGTCCTGGTCTACATCCATGGTGGATACTGGCAGTGTCTGAGGTGAGGTGGGCTGCCGCAGAGGGGATCCCTCGGGAAGGGAGCCCCCCGGCCCGCTCCTACCGTCTCCCTTCTCATGGGACCTGGACTTGTCCTGGGTGCTCCGCGTCTGATCGGCCTCCCGGCCAGCCCTGGGAGACCCTGGCCCCCACAGCCAGGCTAGCTTCCATCTCCCCCCCCAGTAAAGACGAGTCAGGATTCGCAGTCCCCCCGCTGGTGTCGCAGGGCGTGGCGGTGGTGGCAGTGGGTTATGACACAGCCCCCAAAGGTAGGTGCTGCCCAGTGGAGGTGAAGGCTGCCTGCGCTGGCCCGGCGCCCTCCTGACTCTGCCCTCTGCCCAGGCCACATGGACGCCATGGTGCTGCAAGTGCGGCGCAGCCTCGCCTTCCTGGTGGAGCGGTACTCTGGGATCAGGTGGGCCGCACGCAGCTCCCGGGGTCCCCTCTGCCCCACCACTATGGCCGCTGTCGGGCCTTCAAGGCAAACTGTGCCCACCTCACTCCCTGGGTGGTTCGGTGCCTGGGGGTGGCCGTGGCAGCAACAGGAGGGGCACGAACGAGCCATGCCCTGTGACAAAGGCTTCGACGCCTCTGTCCAAGGGCCGGGCAACGCCTGTGGCCATGCTCCCTTGTCACTGTGCGAGGCGTTCATTGGTCAATGGACCGGGAAATCTGTCTGAGCTGCTGCGTTTGGGCTGTGGCACTTGCGGCTGTGCCACCTCCTCCACACGGAGCAGGGTGTCCCCAGGCAGCAGGCACCGTGCCGCCGCTCCCCACGCTGGCTCATGGCTCCCTCTCTCCAGAGGCATTTACCTGTGTGGACACTCGGCAGGGGCCCACTTGGCAGCCATGGTGTTGTCCACGGACTGGACAGAATATGGAGTGGCGCCAGATATCAAAGGTAGCGCTGCCGTGTCCAGGTGCAGGGGCTGAAGGAGAACTGGTGTCTGCACCTGGAGCAAGGCCGTCTCTGCTGCCCATAAGGGGCTGTGGGGGCTGTAGAGCTGAGGGGGATGAGCTGCCCCAGCCAACTGCAGCCCACAGGCCCTAGGAGTGCAGGACTCTGGGCTCCTGGACAAGCTGCCCCCGGGGGGGGTGTGTGTCCTGCACCCAGCAGCCGCTCACTGAAGCCCAGGGATGTGGGTGCAAACAGAGTTCCCAGGTGCAGGGCTGCGAGAGCGGCCCGAGCTGCAGGGCCCCTCACCCACCAGCACCTCTGCCTCCAGGAGCTGTGCTGGTGAGTGGCGTGTACGACCTCGAGCCCATCCTGCACACCTACGTGAATGATGTGCTGAACATGAGCCGGTGAGCCCACACACTATGGGGACAGCAACTGGGAAAGGGCACAGGCAGGCTGCATATGCCTGCCTTTGGCCAGCACAGCCTACGGGCGAACACCAGTGGCTCTGCAGCCTGCTCTGCCCCTGCCCACACAGCCTGCCTGCGCTGCAGGGCACCGGCTGCCTCTGCGCCTGACCCGGGCACAGGCTCTGCGCCCTGCGCCTGGCTGGTGTGCACAACCAAGGACACGGGTGCTCTGCAGGCAAAGATGCCTTCTCTGAGTGAGGGGCTACATCAGCTGCCACTGCACTGTCTCCTCCAGGGAGGTTGCCCAGAGGAACAGCCCCATGCTGTGCATCTCCCCAGCAGTGCCTGCGGCTGCGGCCTGCGAGGTGCTCGTGGCTGTGGCGCAGCACGACTCCCCGGAGTTTCGCAGGCAGTCGCAGGAGTACGGCCAGGTGAGCTCCGGGCAGCACCCTGCCCAGCTCCTCAGGGATGCGGCTCCAGCTGGCCCGCCCGGACCTGCTAAGCTGGGATGAAGAGCTCATGTGCTGTATCAGAGCAGTATTTCTGCTGCTGTGGCAATGGCTGCTGTCAAAGACGACAGTGGATCAGGGGAGGATGCTAGTCCTTGCTGAGCCATCATTCCTGCTCCCCTGACCAGAGTGGATGGGGGTCAGGGTCCCTCCCGCCAGCGCCGCTCTCTCCGCAGGCCCTGCGTGCAGCTGGCTGGTCCGTCTCCCTGCTGGATCTTGCTGGTGTGGATCACTTTGACATCATTGAGAAGCTGGCGGAGGACAGCTATGTCCTCACTCAGGTAGGGGAAGACCTCCTGTCCTCCCTTCACTCTCTGAGCACAGCTGAGACCGGCAGCGCAGAAGAGCTGTGCCGAGGCGAGCTTCCCCCGTGTACGGGGGCCGATGTGGGGCTGCGGCTTCAGGGCTGGCCATCATCTCCACGAGTGGAGGAGTGGGGCCAGGCACTGCTCAGAGGGCTCGGTTCCTCATCCCAGGTGATTCTGAACATGATTTCAAGAGCTTGATGGCATGTCGGGAGCAAACTGAGTCAGAAACCGCAGCCCTGCTGCCCTCCTCGCTCCAGCTGCCTGGGTCTCCTCCTGCAGCACAAGGGCGGCTGCTGCCTCTGGACACCCTCTGTGCCCCCTCCACTCCCTCCAGCCTGCAGCCAAGCAGGAGGGGCTTGGAGCAGGGGAGCACCAGTTATTACCAGTTCTTGCCTGGGTTGGCATTCCTTTGCTGGGGTGTTTCTGCCCCTGCATGGGGCTGGCAGGCCTGCAGGGCTCTGTCTGGATGACCTGGTGATGAAGTTTGTTCCCTCGGTTTCCTTTAAACTGCTTATTGCCAATACAAAATAAAATAGGAATAACTGCTGCCTGAGTGTAACTCTGCTTCCTGGGGAGCTGGGGCTGTGCTAAGCCATCGAGTAGACACTAGACGTGGATGCTGCAGAGAGAATCTCCTCTTCCAGCACAGAGCTCCCAGTCTGCAGCTGGCGTCCTCTGTGCTGGCAGTGGGGAACGCACCACAGCCCAGCCCAGCTCTTTGCTGGGGTCTCACCAACCCAGAATGTGACAGGCTAGGCAGGCAGGGAAGCCCGGAGAGCCTGCCTGCGGCTGTGGGACAGGGGTAATAGAAGCCTTTGGGGATGGGGGGTGATGGAGGAGCACACTGATGAGTTGTCTGGGCCAGGCTGGGCTCGTGCCCCTGGGACAGTCCTGGCCAGATACAAACTTCAGCACTGCTGTGTAGTGGCCCTGGTCCTGTGGCTGAGACACTTCCACCTCCTCAGGAGCACTTGTCCCTCAATAGGCGCACCTCTGGGCTGCGATGATGTCCCTGCTGCGCAGTCAGGAGAGGAGCACACTTGGGAGAAAACATCCTGCACAGCCACAGGACTGCCAGAACAGGTTTATTTTGTGCCCTGACCATCCCTTAGGACCTGTCTCCCTGCTGCAGCATCCTTGCACACGTGTGGTGCACATGGGCCACGTGCAGTGTGTGGCTTTTGGGACGGGGGATGTCTGGCTCTGCTTTTGGGTGCTGTCTGCGGGACCTGAGTTAGAGGAGCAGAGCTTCTGTAGAGGACTAGAGGGTGCTCTGAGGACGCATTTTCTGGGTGACTAGCGAGGCAGGGATGCTGCCTTGGAGGGGTCTGTGTGGTGATGTGAGATGTGGGCTCTCCTCTGTCCCTCTGGGCATGTCTGCAAAGGTGCTGCCTCCCGACAGGTGTGGTGCTCCCACTGCAGGAGTGGGCTGGGGTCTCCCTGGGGTTGGGCTCACGCTGGTTTGCGGGGCTGCACATGGGGGTGGATGCTCTGCTGCAGCTGGCTGGGAACATGCCTGGAGCACGCTGTGGCTGGTCCCAGCCCCTTTGCTGCTGGCTGCCAGGACAGGGCTGGGACAGCTGCTTGTCCTGGTTTCAGCTGGGATAGAGTTAATTGTCTTCCTAGTAGCTGGTATAGTGCTATGCTTTGGGTTCGGTATGAGAAGAATGTTGATAACACTGATATTTTCAGTTGTTGCTAAGTAGTGTTTAGACTAAGTCAAGGATTTTTTCAGCTTCTCATGCCCAGCCAGCAAGAAGGCTGGAGTGGCACAAGAAGTTGGGAGGGGACACAGCCAGGGCAGCTGACCCAAACTGGCCAAAGGGGTAGTCCGTACTATGTGACCTCATGTCTAGTATATGAACTGGGGGAAGTGGGACTGGGGGGAACTGCCACTCAGTAACTAACTGGGTGTTGATCAGCGGGTGGTAAGCAATTGCATTGTGCATCACTTGTATATGCCAATCCTTTTTTTTTAATTATTATTATTGTTATTATTTTCTTCCTTTCTGTCCTATTAAACTGTTCTTACCTCAACCCACAAGTTTTACTTTTTTTTCTATTCTCTCTCCCTATTCCACTCGGTGGGGAGGGAGCGAGTGAATGGCTGCGTGGCGCTTAGTTGCTGGCTGGGGTTAAACCACAACTCTGCCACAGCCCACCAGCTTGCCTGCAGCAGCCAGGGGGAGGCAACTGCCCCCGGGGTTGGGGCTGGGAGGATGCTCAGGCTCCCCCTGCGCTCGGAGGAGTCGGAGGAGTCGGACGCAGTCCCAGGGCCAGCTTCTCCTGGCACTTCCTGGCCACAAACTCCAGCTTGTTCTTTGCGAGCTCGGCGTCACAGGCTGACACATCGCGGTGCCAGACCGCATGCACGGTGTGTGCCGACCAGGGGAACAGCAGGACACTGACAGCCTGGCCGGTTTCGGCCAGCTCCTCCTCACTCACTGCCCGCAGGTGCTCACAGAGCTCTGTGGGGGACAGCCAGCCTCCCCTGATGCTCACCATCACAATGTTTGTCTCCACCGCTGCGAGGTTGACAGAGCAGACGGGCGAGTTCAGCTCCTGGATGCCTGGGGGAGGTAGAGGCAGTAGGCTGGGAGCCCAGTGCCCGGCTTCCCGGGAGAGGAAGCTGCCGAAGCCCTGCCCCAGACCCTGGCTGAAGGAGAGTCCCTTCACCCTCCCCCCTGTGCTGCACCAGGGTCACTGTGAGCACTGCGGGGACAGGCACGGCATCGTCCCGGCACTCCAGCTAGGCAGGGACCCCAGCAGCATCCTCAAGATCCAGCACGGCTGCTCGGGGAAGGTGCCCGCACCGCTATCAGCTCTGGCAGTGCCGGCTAGTGCTGGGTGCGGTGAGCCCAGCCAGCGGTGAGGGTGGGGGATAAGGCTGGGCCCACGCCAAGCTGTCAGGCAGGGCAGGACCTGGCTGCGTGGCAGTGCCTGGAAGCCTGCACAGCCGGTCAGAGGGAGTGGCGTTAGGCTGTGGGCGCCTGTACCTCCCGGCGTGCCGAGGGACCCCAAGATACCTTCAGCAAAGCGTTGGGCGTTGTCATGGTCTCTGCGCAGCGTCGCCTCCGCATGCTCCAGTCCAACGCGGGCAGCGGCTGCCAGCACGCCAGCCTGCCGCATCCCCCCGCCCAGCAGCTTCCGCACACGCCAGGCCTCAGCGACAAACTCCCTGCGTCCAGCCAGCACCGCGCCGGCTGGGGCACCCAGGCCCTGCGGAGCCACCAGAGGGGTAACCCAAGCTGTGCTGGGGAGCAGCCCCCTGCCCCTCCCAGGGACGTGCTCAGGGATGCCCCAGCCTGCAAGGCGGGGGCTCAGCTTGGTGCCCCCGAACAGGGGCGAGCCCCTGTCTTGTGCTGGTCCCGTTTGGCCCCAGGGACCCCCCCTCCCCATGCAAGCACACCTTGGAGAAGCAGAGGGACACGGAGTCGCAGTGCTGGGTGATCTGAGCTGGGTCCACGTCCTGGGCCACCGCCGCATTCATCAGCCGCGCTCCATCCATGTGCACCTGCAGTCCGTAGCGGTCAGCAAGCCCACGGACCTGGGGGGAGGCAGAGGAGCAGCTGGGCTGGAAGGGACCCCTGGGGCAGCCGGCACCAACATGAGCCACGCTCTGAGCTCCTCGGCAAGGCCCTGGCGTCCCCGTGGTGCCATCCTGCTGGGTCCGGCTGCCTGCGCCCAGGCAGGGCTGCGGCCAGTGGCCGGCTGTGGGCTCCTACCTGCTGGAGGTAGGTGAGGGGCAGCACCCGGCCCCCCGCCGAGCTGTGCGTGTTCTCCAGGCAGATGAGCTCGGGGCGCGGGTGGTACCGGCTGCCGTGGGCGTCACGGAGGGTCAGCTCCAGCCGGTGCAGGTCCAAGGTGCCGTCTGGAAGGTCCGGCAGCGCCTGGGAGTGGACCCCAGCGACCTGCGCCCAGGGCAGGGCAAAGAGCAGAGCTGACGGGGGACGGTGGCGGTGCACGGGGGTCCCGGCCCTCTGCGGCTGCAGCCGCAGCCCAGCGAAGGATCGATCCTCCGCCCTGCCCGGCCCCGGCAGCCAGAGGAGGGCAGCAGCAAGCCGCCCTCCCGGCCCTGCCTGCGCCGCCGGCCCCCGCTCGCCCCCGGCACCCACCTGCGCGGCCCCGCCGTGCTCGTAGAGGTGCAGGTGGGAGTCCCGGCCCAGGAGCAGCTGAGCCCCCCTGCGCTGGCAGTGGCACATCACTGGGAGAGAGAGGGGCCGTGAGGGAGGGGGCCAGTGCCCAGCTGGCACCGTGTGCGGGGGGGGGGCAGGCAGGCTCAGCCGGGGTGCCTGCCGGCTGCCTGCGCTTGGGCGGTTTGGGGGGCTCTGGCGCGCGAAGGCTGGGCAGGCAGCACGGCGTTGCAGCAGCGGCGCGGCCTCCTGCGGGCACGGGGCACCCGCTCTGTCCCCGGCGGTGCTGGGGCTGTCGCCCGGGGGGTGCCTGCAGCGGCTGGAGGTGGGGGAGCAGCTGGGGGGCACAGCCTCAACTCCTGGTGCATGCACATGGCCGGGGCTGGAGCAGGGCCCATGATCCCATGCAGCGCACAGCGGACCCCCGCTCACAGGAAGGCAGGAAAGCGAACTGGGTAAAGGTTAATGGAGCAGAGTGGAGGCCGATCATGAGACAGGGATGAGCAGACCCAAGGGGAGGGGTTGCTCAGCAGCAGCATGAAGCAGGGATCAGGGTCCGAGCGGGGCCATGCTGCTACCAGTTTGAGGTGGAGGGGGGTAAGGAGATGCACCCGAGTCAGAAAGGACCTGCTGCCCACAGTTTTCCCCTGTGGCTGTCCAGGCAGCTTCCTGAGCAGAAGTGGGGCTTTCCTTGGGACCCCAGGGAGGAGCGGGGCTGTTCTCGCCCTCCGCACCCTCCACAGGATGGGGACATAAACCTGCCCCTCGGTTTGCGACCTGGCAGCCCTGGGCACTCACCGGCGATGAGGTTTGCCATCGTGGCAGTGGGCACAAAAAGAGCCTCCTCCATCCCCAGGATCCCTGCGGCCTGGCGCTGTAGCTCTGCAGGGGGGAGAAGCACGGGGGTCCTGAGGGGGGGGATGACATCTGCTGGCCCTGGGTGGGCACGGGGGGGGGAGGTCGGGAACCCCCGAGGTCCAGGCAGCCGCCCCCAGCCCCCCCGGAGAAGTCCTCCTCTGGGGTCCCCATCCCGGCCGCCCCCTGGCCTGGGGGGGCCTGCAGGCAGGGACCCCACCGGGGTGGGAGGTG